CAACAACAACAACAACAACGGCCACCAAGAAAGTCACCAAAACGACGCCGACAGTCGTCGCCAGCCGGTTTGGCGTTCAGCACGGCCGGTTTCAGAGGTCCGTCGCCCAGGGTACCCGACGGGCCAAAGAGACTGTGCTCCCGACTGGTCGGTTGGCGTAGTGAGGCGACTATTCTGCAGCCAAATGGGTCGGTCGTGAGTCATGGCGATGGAGGTGGATGGACGAGTTGGTGGTCTGTAGTTGGGTCGACCGGATCGGACGGGTCGGACGGATTTGATGGTAAAACGGCAAGTACAGCTTCACCGGCCATGCAAAGGTGTGGCAGACGAGACATTGGCCTTCAAGTCGATCCAACCGAGGAAGGAGCGACCACGAGCCTGACAACGAGAAAGGCGGGTTTCCGAGGCGGAAATGATGGAACGACAAAACAAAGGAACGAGAACAAGGGAGAGATGAAGCAAACATATGCAGTGGACAAGGAGGCCACTTCAAAGGCTGAGCCCCCGCGTGGCCAAGTTGAGGCCAACCGCAACGACTTACGAAACAAGGTACAAAACTGGGGTAGCCCATCTAAAAAAATGACAATCGATTAAAAAATAATAGTGAAAAGATAAATAGACAAAATAAATAACAAATTAGGCAAAATATAAAGAATAACTCAAAAACATTACGAGTATTTTGATTATTTTCGAACTACACTTGAACTAAAAACAAATAAATATAAACAAATAAATATATAAACATACAAATAATAATAATAAAAAATAAATAAATTTGAAGGCAAAATAAACAAGTAAAAAGCAACAAATATATTCTCACATGCTATTACAAATGTACGAATTAAGTTTATATTGAGCCTACATGAAGCCAAGTTGAAGCCAACAACCAGGACAGGCAAAATAAATTAGGCAACTGAGGTAGTCCACCTAAACTAGAAACAATTAAAAATAAATAAACAACTTCTACAAAATAATAAATAGATATATGCCTATTAATGATAATGAAGAATAAAAAATAAACAAGAAAAATAAACAAATAAAAAACAAACAAATTATCACTCTCTCACAAGCTTATAGATAAAGATAGTTTTGTCTGAATTTATCTGACTTGTATGGCGAATTCCTCCCTCGATTTCCGCTTATTGTTAAGACAACGAAATTGCTAAATCCGTGGTGAATTGGTTTTAAGACTAGAAGCTGTTTGATCTTGTTTTCGCAACGTTTGGTCAAAGGATCGGATTCACTTGTCTCTCTGACGAGTTGTTGTGTGGTGCTAAGAATGGCGAGAATCACTGACGATGCCGGCGAAACGTTTGGGAATGTACCACTTCCACGGTTCGAGTTTGGAAATGATCATGCAGATAATGGACTCCGGACTAGTTGCGTTCCTTTAAGTCTTCCTACCAATGTGACCATGTTGCGAAAACAAGGTCAAACAACTTCTATACAACGAAAGGAGACTGCGACCACACAAAAAGCCACATTATCATGGTCTTTATACCTTTGGTTTTAAGACTATTATTACAGTTGAGATAATAATCCGACATAATTAAACTTTTTACTCAATATCTACTAAAATACTCAAGGCCTACCCACTACGCTTAGTATAATATTTTCGATTCTAGTAGCAAATACAGGTTTGCCCTATTTGCACTCCCACAACAAGCGTGAATTAGGAGAGGCTCACTGCTGGTTTGGCGTATGGTTTTGGTCAAATGAACGCATTAGACACACAAACGTATGCACATGCACATGCTTATAAATTGACCCATAATGCAATCCAGCCAAATCGTTCTCTACCCCATCTTCAGTATCTACGATGTCTTCCATGTCTCATCATCAGCAAAATCACCGTCTCATCAAATCACTAACTACAATATCTGTATTAAACTAAAGACAGCACTTGCAAATAACAAAATATTCAAAAACTAGACTAGATTAGTGCCAATAGATAATTCCATCAAACCTATAGTACACGATCCCAAATAAATATGGTGACAAAAACAGTGAATAATTACTATTATATTAACAAAAGCTAATTTATCCAATATAAAGCTATAAGAAAGAGAAAATAGAGCTATCTGCTGCTGCAAATTTGGAAGAGCCCACTAAAATACTCAGCAAAGTCGGTGAGCAGCGCAGATGATATACTTCAAATATTCTTCTTTGATTCTTCCGGAAGGAGCCGGCCGGAATCGGGCCTTATGAACCCTGAAGAAAGGAGACAACGCTGTCTAGCCTCTACAGAATTTCGGCTTTTGAATCCAATCCTCTGTCCAATTGAAAGCAGGGTACATATTAATTCTCCCTCTCGCTCTCTTTCCATCCTATATATATATATATATATATATATATGTTTCCTATCTTCCTATCTGTCCTAAACCCTATATTAATGCGGTCATTCATATTTTGTGTATTTGAAAAAAAATTGGGCTTCAAAGAAGACCTAAGAGGGGTTAGTGTGACTCGAGTTTCCATTTTTAAGGAAAAGTTGGCTGAAATGAATTTCTGAATTGATCCCAGCCGTGACAGACATCAACATATCTTACGAAATAGCGCAACAAAATATTAAGCCAAGAGTAATGGTTTACTATTTTTGCACTATTTTGTAAAGTATGGTTTCTTGCTTTGATGAGGCCTGTCATATGACAGCAAAGGTCTACCCGAGTCGTAGGACGTCTTCATTCTACGCCACTATTTCTTCGATTTCCGGTGAGACACCTTATTCACGAATTCTTTCTAACCGGAAAGTTGAGTCGCAGTCCTCCAGACTTTCTTTGCTGTGTTACCAAGCCTTAAAATACAAGTAAGTTAAGAACCATAAAAGCTTTTTGAAATATTTTTCGTTTATAAGCAAAGTTTCGAGACTACGAGTAAAGCGGTTATATGAGATGAGTCTCGAAACTCTGCTTGTAAACGAAAAATAAGTAATGTCGTGGATTTTTATAGCAAATATAACTTTGCTTCATCGAAGATCTCACCAAAGAATGTGAAATGGCGAAATACCTGGCCCTCCTTGAAATTCATACCTGCACTATTACCCAAGGTCACTCATGGCAATGTGGCGGAATGGTTAATGTGTCGATCTTGCAGTCAGTTCTGTCGTTGTTCGTCTCCCGCTGGTGAGGTAAAAACTGCTGTCCACTCTGGATGAGAACAACTTTCGGTTTGGCGAGGCTCTGTGAAATTCAATGTAAACATCAGCTCAACTCATATCATTGTGGGAAAATTCTACTACCAGCCTTTCATCACCTTAGACGAAATAGGGTGAATACATATTATATAACTTTCTGAACTAGAAAGCATTTAAATTGAAGTATGTAGTTAGTTGATTAATGTTGTGACAAATGCTATTCTATTGATATATCTCATGCTTAAAAATTCTACTCAACCCAGATTGCTAATTATGCTGCTTTCCTAATACTAGGTGTTACAATACCAGTGAGGATACAAGAAGATATTATTTTAGAGGGTGGACTACTGCTTCCACCTCGTTGGATTCCCATCTACGGGAATAGTCCTATGACTTCAGAGTGTCAATGGATCATAAAGCAGACACGAACCTAAATTGTATCACGAGGCCGACTTATCTCACATCTATCCTTAACGTCTTTAAGTAACCAAGGTTAACAAAATTTTTTGTTTTAAATTTACTGATTGTCTCAAAATTCTACTCATCAGGAATGCAAGTAGTGCCGTCGGTAATGGCAAATAAATGTTTGTTTTATCTATGCTCACGCTATCAACATGTGACATGAGAAAGTCACATCTGTCCTGGGATCTCTTAGCACCCAAAGGGTAGAACATTTTTGAGCATGATGTGAAATATTGTTACAATACAGAAGCAATTTCATGTTGCCTTGCCGATAAAGGGGCATTTGAACGCAGTTTTGACCTTGACTGGTTATCTTCGCCATTTCCAACAGGACTGGAATCCATGTCGCTCGTGTATCTTTTATCATATTTACCCTCCGTTAAACGAGTATGGCGTCAATCAGACATTGAAAACACTGAAGATGCGGTAGTGAACGACTTGGCTGGATCGTCTTATGGGCCAATCGAGAAGCAGGTGCAATGGGATTTTCCCACAATTATATGATATGCAATCAAGATGCTCCTGAAGTTTACTTGGCGTTGTCTCCAAAAGGGTTTATCTCATTCCGGCTGGACGGGAGTTTCGAATTCGCCTAACCCTCCTCAACACCTCCGATACAATTCGATACCGTGTCATGCGCCCCATGACGATACGCAGCCATGAGTGCTAGTGGATCACAGGGAAGATATGACTTAACGGACTAGCAATAACTCATTCAAATCACACTTTATAGTTGGACTGTAAATAAGGCAAATGTCTAGTTATGAAGTAAAGATTAATGGTAAGGGTTTTAAGCGAAATCACACTTTCTCGTTCAGTCACCGATAAAAAGCTCACCTACTTAACCAGACCTGTCTGCGAAATTACGCAATCGGTGTGATGCTGAACATATTGGACAAGATAGGGCGTTGGTCATTGAAAATTGATGAACGAGGGAAGATGCTACTTTTTGTTCTAATTACGTCTGGCTATAACTGCTGGCCCGCGCATGCCCGCACACATGAAATAATTAATCATACATACACGCAAATGCTTCCAGATTGGCATAAACTATGACATAAACTAACCAAATCACTATGCCTAATCTAAATGGACAGATTTTAAGTATATGTGTTAGCCAATGAGTTTTCCTTACTCGTTAACTTGAAAATGTTTGCGAGGTTTATATCTTGTTCCCCTTATGTCCGTTATGTGACGAAAAAAGTTCCAGTAAATTTTCATCTAAATCGGATGAGGTTGTCTAGGAGCAGCATCTGC